CAGTCTCAAGGTTCTGCACTAACAACGGAACCTCTACATTGGAATTTAAAGTCCATTAACACTAAAATTGTGCACACATATATCTACAGGCTTACAGTCAGAGGCGGCCCTCCGGGGAGAGCAGGGATGACCCCAACGCTTTTTCAAGTACCCCAAAAGTGTCCCTTTTTCTTTGACAAGTTCCCATTTTCCTTTGCATTAATTTCCGTTCTCATAAGTGCCCTTAATTATCTCTAGTAAGTGCCCCTTATCAGGTACGAGAAGTGCCCCTTTCATCTCTGATAATTACCCTATTCAAATCTGAGAGGTGCCTCTTTAACTTTGACAAGTGCCCACTTTTCCTTTGTAAAAAGTGCCCCTTCCCCTTTAAATAACTACTTTTGTACTTTGACACGTGTTCCTTTTATTTTTCCAATAACTGACTTATCCCTTTTGATAAGTGTCCCCTTTTCCTCTCATCATTAAACATGCCCCTAATTTCAAGCGACTAAGAGCAATTTCCCCAAAAGCTTGCTCGCTACACTCGCTCGCATTTATAGATGATATTATTATGTTACTTATTAAAGGTCTTTTCAGTCTTCTTGGGTTTTTCCTCTTTATAAGATGTTATTTTTTGCACTGCGACCTCACCAATCTTAAAAAATTTCCTCGCTCGCAAATGTATTTTCAGACCTTCACACCCAACTGCAAACTATGTATAATGTGTAATGAGAAACAAATATTGCAATCATCTCTGATAATGTAATCACAATGTAGGTATATATAGCCTACCCATGTCTGAAAAGTGGTATATTTTTGCTTTGAGATTTCTGGCCCAAAATAGATCCTGCAGCCAGAGTCAAAATATACCAGCCCATTCATGCCTATATGCAGAAATATATGAAAAAATGTTTATTCTGCCGATTATGCCATTTTGCCCGCCTAATTTCGACTGATTTTGTTTTAAAAATTTATTGAAATTATTATGTTTTGGGCGTCATGTGAGCCTTGGAGGCAAAACGTGAACTGAATCACTGTAACACTCGGGTCTCTCCTCCCCGGCCAGAATAACTGGTTGGGATTGTGCAGGTGGCCCACTACAGCAGAGTTCCCCCCTACTCTTGTACGAATAGTGCAGTTGGTTCTTAACGTGCAAAGATGGTGAGTATTGGTGACACATCTATACACGGGGCCTCCATTTAATGTCCTATCCGAGGGACGGATATATGTTAAAACGCGGTATCAGAATGCCGATTGGAGGTCTAAGGCTTTATCGTGCAATATTATTGCATAGAGTGTTTGGAAGTTCGAGGATATCCGGGTACTTGTCATTATTGTTGTAATGCTTAGGTAATCCTTCGATACTAGACGAAATAAACATGAAGAAGAAGAAGAAAAAGAGAGAATGAGAGAGAGACAGAGAGAAAGAGAGAAAGAGAGAGCAAGAGAGAGAGCAAGAGAGAGAGCAAGAGAGAGAGCAAGAGAGAGAGCAAGAGAGAGACAGATAAATAGAGGAAGAGAATCAAATGGATAGAGGATATGGGTAGAGAGAGTTAGCTGGGAGGGAAAGAGGGGAGAGGAGAGACAGAGACGGACAGACAGACAGACAGATAGATAGACAGACAGGTAGACAGACAGAGACAGAGAGAGGGGCTGAAGAAAAGTTAAGTCTTGATAATGCTCTGTTTAATAATATCTTCATGATAAATATTAGCCGATGGGGCAGATCTAGCCTTTTAAACTAAACCAAAAAAGAGATTTGTTGATATATATATTAATTATAGTCAATGTTTTAATACATACTACACCATTACTGGTTATTAGTAGGACTCAAAGTCTTAAAACTGTGTTCTCTCGCTTCCCTCCCTCGCCAGGAGACCAATGCTATCAAGTGCGATGAGAGAATAACTATAGAGTTAATAAAAATGCGTACAAATGAATGTCTTTTTCAAATGCTCAATTATCCTTCTTAGACGAAAGGATATAGAAACTTTAGATGTTAATAGATTGATGTATAGACAAATGCTCATGTACCTGTTACAGCTCATTTTAAGTATGTTATTACCAAAGAAAAACAGATGTCAGTCCGTCACTCAATAGTGTATGACAGTGAAGTCTAGAAGATAAACGGGTTTTCTTGCACAATTTGAAAACTAGGACACTGCCAACGTTTACATTTGACAAATAGGACCTACATGGCATATTCATAATTCCTGCAAACTTCTACAGAATTTGATGTTGGCTGCAAAAGGGACATAGTAACTTTAATCCAGTGTGAGGCTTTGTAACAGGATAACCGATCCCATGACAGTCCATCGTATCACCTGGACTCCCTGCACCAAGGTGCACCATCGTTTTTTAAGGGGCACGGGGCATTTGCCCCTCCCATAAATTTTTAACCACGAAGATAAGTTTATATCTTTCTTTTACGGTGAAGTGGTAAATTATTGTAAGGTAAATCAAGATAAAATAAAAATCGCCCACAACTGTTACGAATTACACTGCATTGGAACGAATATTTTCATGCTGGAATATATACATGATATATATAGATCACCATTGATCATCAAATCAAATTGTTTATTCTAGTTACTACTGACACGATACTATTGTAAAGATATCACAAAAATGCTAGGAAATCCCCCCCCCCCCCCACTTCTCCCCTCCGGAAGCCGAGGAATGGATACGCCACTACAAAGCCACCGACATGTCGCCTTCTGTCTCATTGCGTTCGGACTTCTTGGCGGATATTTGACTCATTACTAACCCACGTTCACCACGTTTAGAGAAAATGGAAATATTTCTCGGAAATTTACCATTGCTAAGAACAAGTGGCACGAAAGGATGTGTGAGGTTCTCTTCTTTTTTAATAATTAAAAAGATTAGAATGGTTAAAACACCTGGTCTGACTCATTTTCTTAAAATTATAAGTTATAATCACAAGTTTTTACTTTATATGGAAATATATTTGAGCACGGACCAACAAATCTACCTAAGTATCAAACTATGGGTTGCAAGTGGTTGAAGAGTGATTTTGATTTATAGTAACCCACTACTTGTAATGACCATAATTAAACTGATTGAATCTTTGTGGAGCACAAAACGTATGAACATTCGGTAAATGGGTCTGAAAATCAGACTAATACTTGGGTGATTACAATCACTTAAGTCGATTTTTTTTCCCACCAAAAGCCATTTTCAAGCCCTTTCTGTTTGAGGAAAGTCCTAAATTAGTATTGTCTTTCAAATGCCCTTGAAATTGAAATTTTGCATTTGTTTGGCCTGCAAATGGGACATAGTACCTTTAAAGGTACAATCTTATCCAATTTGTAATAAAAGTTATGGATTTTATTCAAAAATCATGTTTTGTATGATTTGTTTATGTGCGTTTTTATTCAATACAAAACTTCAATCACAAGGAACCAGCAATGTTTAGTTTTTTTTTAAAAGGATAAAGGATAATTTATGAATATCATATGAAGGCATAACCATATAACATGAACAATGGGTTGAATAAGTAATATGGCTCCGAAAATTCTATAAAATCTTTTGCTGTTTCATGAAATTTAAGAACATAACAATAATTCATGAATACATTATTTAAACCATTATAACATGAATATGCATTTGGTACATTAAAGTATAGACATTTTCATAAATGACTACATATTCGGGTGTTTGCATTACATTTCAGTTACCTAACGAAAGCATCAAAATATATTTAAAAGTCAACGAATTAACATTTTGCTCTAAATACACTATCAAGAAACTATAGTGGCATAATAACTCTGAACTTTTATGCATATTTGGCAGTTTTGACAGCATTTAATAAAGTGAAGAAGAAAAAAAAAGCATACATCATGAACAACAATAAGAGTATCACTACATGCATCAGACTCAGGACACCCCCCCCCCCCCCACCCCGTTAAACAAAATGAAAATATATACTCAAGTTCATGTTGTCTTTTAAAAGAAAAGAATCCCTTTATCTTAAAAATAAGCATTGTAATTGCGTCTAAAAGTTTTGTTTTATGTCTGTGACTGTTAAAATGTTAGAATGTTAGGTACGAAATACATGAATCACTAGAACAAAGGTGAAATAGACTATTGGACTAAATAGACTATTATTCATTCACGACCAATGACGTAATTTACTTAAAGAGAAGGTTGAGAACTCATGAATACTACTACACTGCGTCAAAAGAGAGAGGTTGAAGAAAGGTATCGTTAGTCTCGGCATTCAAACCTTTTCTTGACTGGAAACTGTACTACGGCTTATAATGCAGCAATGTTGCGGTACACTGTTGAGAAATTAAGACACATGACAAATAGTTGTATTGATTATATATTATATGATACACAGTCAATAAAAGTATCGACAATCTTTAAAGGGCCTTGCAAGAAACATCTTAAAACTTGTATTAGGGCCAAAATGTTGTAAAAACAAAATCATAATAGAAAATGTTCCTTAAACTCTGGTGGCAAAATACACATTATCAGCAACCTTATAGTCATTTTTTTTTCTTTTCAAATATTAATTTTGCTACTGGCAGTGTTTTATTCACCCCATTTGTTGTTTACAAAATGAGGGCTTCAAATTTTACTCAGAAAGAAAACCACAGCGTCCTTTTAACTGAAATTTGACATAGTTATACATGTACTTTCATAAACTCATCTTGCTGCTATACAGGTAAATTTTGATATAAGTTTTTGAGGGATTGCAAATCCCTGATATGGGCTTTAATTTAAGTATAATTGCTTACTTGAATCGAGAAATTCAATAGCAAGCACAGCTTATTAAGGCACGGGAGTAGCGTGAAAATGGATCGGAAATATTTAATGTGACTGCAAACACAGACTAAAAAGTAGGCGGGGAAAAGAACTATACCACTTTCGTCTCCAGGATGCTTGGCTGGAATGGTACTGGTAGTTAGTTTGGTTCCAGAGAGAAGAACAGAAAATCGCCCACGGGAAATAATCTGCGTCGTCACAAATCACCGGTCGAACTGTGGGTCAAAAAAGTTCTGTGATCTCTATAAATACAGGTCCTATTTCTGAAAGAGTATCAGTTGAAACTTAGGAACCAGCTTAGAAAAGTGGCAAAAAGGTAACAATATAGCATCGCAGGTGAAAAAGAAAAGAGGCAAACAGCAGAACAATTATAGATCTGGATATACTTTCACAACTTGGCAAAAGGCAACGGAGTTCGAGTGCAATATAGTTAGTGTGCAATTTGCAAGATGGAGTTCTCGGTGATTTTTGTGTGCATGGGCGTTTTGCTCATGGGCACCGCAAACGTAAGTATGATTTTCAGCTTTTGCCTTTCTACGATTTGTATCAATTTTGTCTAAATCTTAGCCCTTTAAAATGACTTTTTAGTTTAGGTCTAATTCTGAAAGAGTAGATTGTCAGCTTTAATATGATATATAGCTTATCAAAATTGGACGTTCATAATCCTTTGAAAAAAGGAGGAGAATGCCTTGTCACAAAGAACATTACTTTAGAGAAAAGTATTTTAAAAGCCTGTATTATAACTGAACAGTATTATGCAAGGTGACAAAGAAGAGATTAGATTCATATGAAGGGATTATCGGATTGTCCTGAAAGTTGGCTCAACATTTATACTTATCCTGTTCTTTAATTTTGTTTAGGAATCATTGCAAAGTTTGTATCAAAGTTATGGGAGATTGAAAGGAGACCAGTAGCCAGGGTCTCGAAAACTTACAACTATAAAAAGAAAATGCGACTTTGTGTTGGTTTTGTGATATTGGAATATCAATTTTTCTTGTTATTTCCCCCCTAAACCATAAAGCGTTTTGACGAAGATGCCAATATTGTTTTGCAGTATTCAGCCTTTATCATTTTAGAATGATATAAGTTTCTTCTTCATTTTTTTCTTTAAGTAATTTTCTGCTGTTTCTCTTTTCTCTTAATCGGAACAAACTTGTTTGGTGGTGGTCATGTTTTGATTGTTGAAAAGTATCACGAAGGGAGCGAAAACAACTTATTCGAAACTTTGATTATTGCGGAATTATAATCACGGTATTCGAAGTATGAACAATTGTTTTCTTTAAATGAGGGCCGTCGGAAGCAGCAAAACCAAGTTTTTTTCCGAAACTTTAATTATTGTGGAATGATATTCATGGTATTCGGAGCATGAATATGAAAAATGCAAGCACGTCGATTCTAGAAACTGAATTTTATTCAAATAAGTAGAAGATGACTCACCGTGCTCAAGTGTTCTCTTCCTTATTCTCTAATGCTATAGTGAAGCAGGGAGGTGAGACTTTAATGCCCTGAGTGAAGTGTTCTCTTCCTCATAACTCTCATCTGCTCTCTGCATGTGCTCTCTCTCTCTCTCTCTCTCTCTCTTTCTTTCTGTCTCTCTTTCTGTCTCTCTTTCTCTCTCTTTCTCTCCCATACACACACATGCTCTCTCACTCCCTCCTCCCTTCCCTCTTTCTAACATTCACTCTCTCATTTTATCTTTCTTTCCCACAGGCGGAGTATAACTACAAGACAGGGTTTCTGAACGCGCAGGGAGTCCCCGATGGTGGGGTGAGTATATCGTGCGGGGTCGTGGAATAACATTGACCTCTCGATTCGTGTGTTTGGATTCAGATTCAACATAGACACCAACCTCTATCCATCCGTCAAAAAATATGTTAACGTTGCTAAATCCCTTGTTTTTAATATGAACATTTCATGCGTGTTTAAAGCTAAAAACAGAAACTAGAATTTCAACTTTCTATATAAGCACGAAACAACATATATAGTCGGCCCCAAAACTCTCGATCATGATGCAAATCTCAAACCGAAAATGCCGACCAATTGTTATGTGGAGTGAAATTAACTACTAGATTATTAATAGTTCAAGTCTATGATATGCTCAACGTTGTTTCGATCAAACTATATTATCATTATATTATGTTATGTTAAAAAATACAGACTAGAATTGGAAGAAAATGAAACTAAGAAAATAGATGCGAATTCTAATGTAGTAGTGGATAAAGATAATTAATGATTGCAGGAAATACATTTATAATCTGCTTTCAAATAAATACAGATATATAATTTTGATCTTCTTTAAACATGACTTATGATTTACTTGTTTGTAAATGATTATGTATGATGCCATTCGTGATTTTGTATCTGAATAAATATTTTATAAAAGAAAAACAAATCATTATATTACCCTACACCCCTTCCCATGGAAAACTGGGCATTTTTTTTTTACTTCACAATAACCGTGGTATAAAAATAAACAAATCTGCAGAGAAACAATAATCAGAGAGTCAATGAGTCAAAATACATGTTACGATGCGCTTTCAAGAGATATAATGGCCGCAATTTTGTTAAGCCTCTATAGTCTCACTTTTTATGATCTGATATGATGTTTCTCGGAAGTTTTTCTCGCTATTTTCCTCCAACATGAGACCCTCAAAATGTTACACTCATTGAGAAATGATATACACTAAAAGATGCATGAAAAAATTAAACGATTGTTTCGTTTTGTATTGGTTGGTTTATAATCATCGAACATGTAGCTAAAGCCGGGCTGAAGTTGTTTAATTTAAAGAGTAAAAAGTACATGTTGACATATGAAATTGTCTTATTCTACATAATGACGATTGTATATTATGTGAAAAACGTGGTATAATATTTTTTTTAAATCTATGCATTTTCTTTCTGTTCTTTTTTTTTTATCAGATGGATGTTGTACCGCCATCATTCGAAGGTAAGTTACATACTATTATCTGCTTGCACATAGCTCTGTTTTGTATAATTGAGTCTGTGATTGTATTATTATGTTTCTATTGATCAGTGTGTCATTCATTTATATAAATAATATTATTGAAGATTAGAATGGATTGCCCGATGTCTTTTTAAGAGATTTAGTTGCTTGTGCATAACAGCTCAATAATACATAATATAGGCAATCTATAATTGAATCTTCTTGAATTTGGCATAACTAAAGGTTAGCAAGTGCAGTTTAACGTCAAGTGCATGGGAGTCAAAAGCCGAGTAAACTCTCATCGTTTTCTTGCAGAATATGGTGATTATTTTAAAAATTCGAGAAGCATTATTAATTGTTCATTTTATCTGACTGTCAACTCGCAAGTATTTACTTATAGAATGATGTGCGATAAGTTAACCGAAACAGCTGTAGGTCCTACCCAAACGACTCGGTAAATGCTGTACAACCAAGGGGTTATCCTAATTCCTTGGTATTACAAGTACAACATATCACCCAAATTATCCATATACAGTGAAGTATTGACGATGTTTAAACACATTTTTTCCTAACATTCAACTTTTTTTTTTTCTCCTTTTTTTCATTTTGAAATACAGAAATTCAGGCTTTTGGCACTGCAAATAGTGGTGACGCATTTACAAACATTATGGCAAGAAATATAGCTATAAACGAGACGGGTAAGTATCTTAATTTGTATCTCTCTTTTCTCTCTCTCTATCTCTCTCACTCTCTCTCTCTCTCTCACAAATGCACTCTCACGTCTACCTTTCTCATTCTTTCATTTCTTTGCACCACCCTCTCCCCCCTCCACCCGCTCCCCCTCTCTCTTTCTCTCTCTCTCTCTCTCTCTCTCTCTCTATCCCTTTCTCTCCTCTTTAGTGTATATCATCTTATATTCATATATTCATACCTAATTATGTATATTCCAACAGCCTGATATGTCACCTATTGAAATGTGCGAGCATAACCATGATGAATTCGAACATGACGTCTAAATGAGATTACCACTAGAAGATTTCTCGAAAGTTTTTACGATCGTATTATCCAATAGGCCATTTTCGTATTGTAACGAAAGTTAGTCATATAACTTTGTGAATCGCCTCGAATTCAATTATTTCATTCACATGTTACGAATAAATATATCTCAATACAGTCAGAATTCAAATTGCATACATTAGCTGTTGCTAGGTGGGACAAAATTATGGCTTGTCTAACCCAACAACACGTAATATATTCAATTTGCATTCCGACTTTTGAAATACAATTATTCGTATTGGGTGAATGACATTTTTCGTATCGAGGAATTTAAGTATAAATTTGCTTACATTGAGAAAATGTCCTGTCATTTCGAAGGAAATCTACCATCTTTCCCATTCCATGCTTTTTCGACACCAGTAACCCTTATTACCTATCTTTTTTATCCCTTTTTTTTTCTTCAGAGTTGTGTCTCGAGCAGGGTGATATTCCCGTCCCATGTAACAGCACCGGTCGAGCCAAACGAAACGCTCTCCGTGATCGCGGAATGAGATGGGTAAACGGTGTGGTTCCATACGTCATCGACAACCGATACGGTAAGGAAATCATTGACATAGCCTTAAATGGTATCATGCAATAGGGCGTTTTCGACATGTAACTGCAAGCATTTTTAAATTTTTTTTTTTTAGGGGGGGGGGGGGGGGAGGGGTTCAAGAGGCCCCGGTTAAGATACACTGATATATATCATTATTGAAAGTAACCTACATACTATGTCATTGCTTTGTAATGTAATTGTACGTTGATATCTAGTTGACACAATGACATAATGCTTTGGTGGAAGTGAGATCCGATGATACGGAATTCCGATACTTCCTGCGTGATAAAACATTGAGGTCAAAATGTTTCACCAACCCTGTGTACAACACAGGGTTGGTGAAACAGTATAGGCTATTGTGGAATTCCCAGTTTTTAATGTTCATGGTCACCATGTTCAATTCTTTCATAACTATTAGGTTAGCCTCATAATGTTATGACTAATACAAAGAGTTACAGTTCATGTTTCATTATTTGCATTTCATAAGCAAACATCTTCAATGCTCTTCTAGTTTTCATACATATATATATATATATATATTATAACGTAGCCGTGTTAAATTCCACTCGATATCTCGCCATAATATAAAAACTGTAGCGGTCCACAAAACACAAAACTGTTAACATCACATTACATTACAAGCATACAGTGTATATATTTGTATTTTCATCATACACTACAAGCATATATTTGTATTTGTATCAATTTACTTATCTTTTTCACATTTTTTCGATGGAGCAGATTACGGTACTCGCGCTCGCATCACGAGGGCTATGGAACGTTACCATGAAACCACTTGCATCCGATTCGTAGAGAGAACAAGAGAAACAGACTACATCTATATCTTCCCCGGTAACGGGTAAGTGGAGCGATTTTATAAAAAATTGTTCTAGATTTTGAAATTGAATTCTTGTTTCGGAATGTTAACAATGAATTATTGGTATTATGTATTTTTGCATGGTTCAAGAACGGAAACCATCCATCTTCTTCATTCCCTATAAAACCGCTCTAAAAGAGTATCCACACCACATCCCTGTTGAACACGCCCACATATTCAGCATAGACCGCATGCCTTTGCACACACAAAAAAAGTTTTATATTGCATAGGTCTTACTTTGAAATTACGTTTTTGGTTATTACACACTACGATGAACACATGCAGGGATGGTGAAACATTTTACAATGTAACAATAATATTACAACTATTTACTGGAAAAACATCTTACGAGTCTTCTAACATAATTGCCTTGAATCTTTGGTGCTCAGGTGTTATTCTCTGGTCGGCCGTGTCGGGGGTCAGCAGCAGGTTTCTCTGGGAAATGGCTGCACTACGAACTTGGGTACGATCATTCACGAACTCATGCACGCCGTCGGATTCCACCACGAACAGACGCGAACAGACCGCGATACATACGTCTACATCTACTTCAACAATATCATTCAAGGTAAAAAAGAGGGATCGCTGTAAGTGGGTTCAGGATGGGGTTATCATGACTGTGGTGCACGTATGGTGGCGGGTCCATGATTTTGGAATGAAGGGGTTGCGTACTCCCAGTCCCCCCCCCCCCCAAAAAAAAAAAAAAAAAAATAAATAAATAAATAATAATAATAATAATAATAATAATAAATAATAAATAAATTTTTAAAAATAAATAAATAAATAAATTTAAAAAATAAAAATAAAAATAAATAAATTTTAAAAAATTGCATGTTGTGGGTTGGGAATGATTGGGGGCGTGCATTGTTGGACAATATTTTAAAAAATGATCGAATTTAAGTAAAGGTAATTCAAGTAAATGTAGTCTAAATTGCCTCGATGTCTAATGGAGTGCTGATTATAGTTCTCGACTCCGAAACAGTAATCCAAAATACTCGAATTGTCACATTCAGAAAAGGTGTTATCTACAAAATAATGTACACACATCAATGTAATCGTCAGAAGGAGACATGGTTAGAATCAATAAATCAAGTCAATTAAGATGCATTAGTGCAATAAATAATAGTTGTTTATATAATTTTGCATGGAGAGCAGTCGTGGCTGGATTATTTATGTTGGTATAGTAAATAACATTGAACTATTTTAAAGACATGATGGCGCGACAACGTGATTATTAATGTGATTCGGACTTGGCAGATAGTAGGTCTATATACAAGAAGTTTTCAACTTGAAATAAGTCCATGTAATCAAACTTAAATGATTATGAATGAACATCGAATCGAAATCAACTCAAATATTCACCTTCTCCCATGTCACAGGTCTTGAATACAACTTCGACAAGTATGAACAAACCTACATCGACCACCTCGGTACCCCATACGATTTGTTCTCCGTCATGCACTACCACATGACCGCGTTTACATCGAACGGACTGCCGACCATCGTCGCTCGCGACCAGAGATTCCAGCTCGACTACCGTTCCGATTTCAGTGACAACGACATCAACAAACTCAACATTTACTATGAATGTGGTAAGTTTGATAAGAGCGGTGCCAAGTATCAACTTTAAAACACAAAGTCGTTTCAAAAAGATGTTTTATATTTGTACAAATCCGTCTTCAAACCCAATGATAATACCAAAAGAAAGGAAAGATACAAAAGAGTATGTCACCTTTGTCCTTTCTCTCTCTCTCTCTCTCTCTCTCTCTCTCTCTCACATACACACACACACACACACAATCTCTTTCCATCCCTCTCTCTCTCTCTCTCTCTCTCTCTCTGCATGTCTGCGACCTCCTTTCGTCCTCTCTCTCGTTCTAACTCATTCTCCTTCGCCTTTATTTGAATATGGCATACAATGTTAACCTGAGTCAATTATTGACTTGTCAATAGAATATTCTGATTTCAACTACCGGGAACAATTCATTATAAAACTGGAAGAAGAACAATTTGCATGTATCAATAGTATTCTTTGCAGTATGTGAATTATATCAAGTGCGTTTGTATCAAAAGTGTAAAAATGAATCGGATAAATAACTGTGTGCTCATTTTCTATTTCCCTTTATCCTCTGCAGACGGCAACACTGTCGATCCCACGTGTAAGTCTTTTTTTCTTTTTTTTTTCTTCTTTCTTTCTATTCCCCCTATTTATGAAGCTACTCTCCCTGCTCCATAATGTTAATTAACCGTCGAATGTAAATCATATGAAAAACATTTTCCACAAAAATGTTAAATCCACAACATTTAGTATCTTTCTGTAGAGATAACATTTTGCTTACTAGGTTTTGATCAGAGGAAATCAAGAGACAATAATAACAACAAAAATAACAATGATGATGATGACAATGATCATAGCAATAATTCATTAAAGGGGAAATTCACCCTAATATTAAGTTGGTATTAATAAAAGCAAAAAATCCGATTAAAAATAAGAAAGTTATGAATTTTTGAAGTTGCGATATATCAAACACAAAACACTCTGTGACGTATCTTGCGAGCTCCCCTCCCATTTTCTCAATTTATGCTTGTTTGTTTTTACTCCTATAGTACCGGAGGAAGTTGATTGTGTTGATAGTAATCAAAACTGTCCTGGTTGGGCTGGTGCTGGATACTGTGCTACTAACTCCTGGATGATTGCCAATTGTAAGCTCAGCTGCGCAGTCTGTGTCATTACTCCTACTCCTACTCCAGGTCAGTCAATGATATATGTTTAATTATTATTATGTTTGTAGTATTATCATGATAAGTAATTTCATTATTATCCAAATGTCATTGTTATTATTTTCATCCATGTTTTTCGATATCAACGATCCAGTGATGAAATTATTCAATAATGGGATTATAATTACTGTAATCACGAATATTATCATTATTATTGTTACTATTGTTGCCGTAAGTTGAATAATAACTACAACTTGTTTTTATTGTAAAACAGACGATTGCTTCAAAAGCGTAATTGAAGAGAACCAATCATTTAAAACATTGTAAATAGATAAAACATTATTAAAACTGAATTTACTTAACATTTGATATCAAGAGTACATGTATTAGAAGTTATAGTATTTCTGGAAGGGGGGGGGGGGGGTCATCAAAAAATGAAAAACGTAAAAATTAACTCTCCTTTCATTTTTGTAAATATTATTTTGACAGGAACCGGAGGCAATGATGGTGAGTTGATCCATCTTCTTTATATTGTTATAATGATGATAACATAACGAAACTTGTATTTAGCCACAACTAAGTGTAGGGTAAAAATGCTGATAACGCTGATATTATGCTGATATCATGAGCGACAACACAGGCACTACGATATATATATATATATATATATATATATATATATATAGTCATCATGAAAATGAATATATATATATATATATATATATATATATATATATAATGTATATATCAAATTAATTTATTATAAAAATTGCTTCAACGGTATCATTGGAGGTGACCAATCACTCCAAAATAGAAATTTGTAAATCTTTAGAGAACCTGAGGTATGAATCTATAATTTTCATTTGTATCAAAATTAATTTTTCTTTTTAAATTAAAATCAATGTTATCTTGCACCATGATGACTATGTTATTGTTTAATAATGTTGATATTATTTAGTGAAATACAAAGCAAAACACAACGTTTTTCATTATAACTATCAGACATTTGTCAATAAGAACTAATTCAGACAAAATCAGATTTGTGATATATTCTTATCAGTGGCTTTGAGTATCTATCTTCTTTCAACTCTCTTTCTCACGATTGTGCAGACTGCAAGGACATGAACGATAACTGTGCTGGTTGGGCTAATGCGGGCGAGTGTCAAGCCAACCCATCCTGGATGTTGCCCAACTGTCCCGTCAGTTGCGATCAGTGTCAAACCGTCAATCCCGGTGGTGAGCAAAAACAAAAAGCTGGTTACTTATGAACGCAAGGCCGTGAATAGATGATTATTGTTGCTTTTGATATTGTTTGTAAGGAATCAAAATGATGGGTCGCAGTGTTAGTTGAGGATACTGTTTTGGTAACAATTATATCAAGCTTATGTTAATTTAAAAGGGTTCAATTTTATTCATATCTTGCTGGTCAGGATTCAATTTTCATGATGATGATAAAATTTCACGATGATGACTTGATTACAACAAGATTTCACGATGATGACTAAATTACGACAAGATTTCACGATGATGACTAAATTACGACTAGATTTCACAAGGATGACTGTAGTTTGACAATAAGTAATTCATGATGATAGGTAACTTTGATGATGATGACTAGATTTCATGGTGTTCATCCAGAAGTAATTATGGGGAGTAAAACCAAATAATGCAGATTTTTTAATCTATTATTTCGTCCCAGAATCCAGTCTCTTTGAACAAAAAAAATCAATACATAAAAGGATTAGATTTCGTTTAAAATTTAAGTATGTAATAAGTCACATCAACATATCAAGCTCATTAATTTTGTGACACTTTATTGTCAATGTTGGTGTGATCTGTAGTAGGTAACTATAATTGGCATTGACTACATCTTATATAGTTAACATATATTTAATACTATGAGATTGGTTAAAAGCATGTTCATGTTGGTGGCAGTAGTTATATAAAAGTTGACCAAAATATGTTCATATTTTTTGTTTATTAAACAGAAAACTGCATAGACATGAATGATAATTGTGCAATTTGGGCCAAGTATCGACAGTGCACCGAAAACCCTGGCTACATGCTCGAATTCTGTCCCCGTTCCTGTGGGCAATGCGTTGGTAGCGCTATAATGCAAAGTAAGTACATTTTGTATTATAGACTTCGCGTCGGAAATAGATATTTCTTTCTGATAAAAGAAAATGAATATTTAACTTCATTTTATTTATTTTTCGTGATTTATCCTAAACGCAACCTCCGGCCCAATCCGCCTTCTGATTTTTCGGGGTTTTTTTGTATAATACTTTAGGTTACCCACTGAGAACCAAAAGGTCGTTGATGTATTTCAGATACACCCTCCAGTCGTGGAGATATTGTGTGCTGCAAACTTCTTTTGAAATGTTGCATCGTTGATTTGAAATCAATTTAGGGTACCGTAGGAGATCAATTTAAACGTACGGTACTCTTTTGACCTTGTTTTTACATTTTCTGTTTAAAGATTTGTTTAATATAAATAATAATGTTCAATCGAACATGACAGATGGGAACCCCGTCTATAGTTTAATATAAACGATTTGTTTAATATAAATAATAATGTTCAATCGAACACGACAGATGGGAACCCCGTGTATAGTTTACCACCCCCCCCCCCCCTCTCCCCCCTCTCCATTCACTCCCTCCTTGTCCTGTCCCCTGTTTAACAAGTTCTGGATAAGCTTCCGATTAATTCCTGTATAGTCTCTGTTAAAATGATTTCAATACCCAATGCAGTAGCCTCGTGCAGACGATATGGTCAATCAATATCATAATCAGCTATTCGATCTCTGATTTATATATGCATGTATAAATATATGAATATTTATTCATTCGTTATATTTTGCTCTTTAGCTTGTGAGGATTTCAATGAACAATGTGCAGACTGGGCAAGTACGGATCAGTGCCAGCTGAATCCGGGTTACATGAACTACGAGTGTAGGAAGAGCTGTTCACTCTGTGCAGCCAGCTCGCCTTTGGAACTGCTACCGCAAAGTAAGATCACTAGGAATTTATTTATGATAGGCAATCAATCTAATTACAGTTTGAAGAATATATTTCAGCCAAAACGTCATGGAGTTCACGTCTTAAAGTCATTAGATTAAGACCCAATGTTAAATAGCATGCAGAATTAAAACAATGATGCAAACGGATATTGCTTCATTTTTCCATTTTCCCTGATAAGTTAAAGCTTTGGTATGTCTTTGTGTCTCATTATCTCAGAGTATTATATTGTATTATTATAACTGATGATATGTTAAAGTAAGATTACTTGTCCTGAATTTAATTCATTCCCACATAATACACTTTGTTTAATGCCCCCTCCCCTTAAATTGGGGATGCACTTAGACTGACAATTCTGCCATGGAATATGTGCGTTCAGCCCCTATTTTAATCAATAATATTGCATGGCTCTTCAACAACATGGACTGCCCTCTCCCCCCCCCCCCCGATAATTTTATTGGAGCAACACTTTGGTGTTTTATTCAGATGCTTCACGATAGACCAAATCAACATTTTACTGCTTTCGATTTATAGGCCTACTGTACATCCCCCCCCCCCCCCCTTCCCCCTCCCCAAAGGGTGAAATATGCCTACATATACAAAACATATAATATAATTTTTGGAAAAATAATCTTTAAGCCCCTCAAATTAATTAACATTATTTCATCCTTTATTTGCTCTTTTTTTCTGCAGCTCAATGCCAAGACACGAGTGGTTACTGTTCTGTGTATGCTGAGGATGGGATGTGCGAGTCGAAGCCCGAGTACATGGGCCTGGTTTGCCCCGACACCTGTCGGATGTGCCCCGGCAAGATCTACGCCGATAGTGGGTCTACGCCGATCTACCCCGATAGTGGGTCTACTGAACTTCGATCCTTCTACGGCTTCCTTGGCGCCCTTGTCATCTCATTTCTTGCTCGCAGATTAGCTCTGTAAACAAAAAATCCTCTTATTATATTAGCTCTGTCATCCAGTCTTTTGGGGGGTATTAGTATCTTCACTTCAGTTCAAACCTGGAAAGTTGATAACTATAGTTATGCGGTCAATTACAACCGGAGGTAATATGCTCTATACTGTTGATTCAGTGCAAAAGTTGCAGAACTTACGGAATCATAATCATAAATAAGATTTCAGAGTTGTTAAGCTTCTTTTTCTTTTTTTACTGTTTTGTGTCACTAAATAGTGATCTAATACCACAACAATCATTCTGGTCCAGTCTTCAATATGGTGAAGCTTATCACTATCGTCAATTTTTATGTTAAAACAAAATCAGTTTGTTTTTATTGAGTTGTTAAGTTTCTGTCATAATTTTGTATCATATTTTTATTTATCTATTTATTCATATTTTGTTCATAAATATTTTGTATTTGCATTTTTCTTGTAAGTAAGAGTACTTTTCTTATTTATTAGGTCAACGAAATTACTTGGCAAATAAGCCTTTAGTATAACAGTGTATATATTATTGATTTGCGTGTAGACCTACGATTTGCACATAATTACAGTTTTGAAGATTTACATTTACAGTACAAACTATATCACTAAAAGTACTCTAACTATAAACACAAAATGAAAAAGAGCCTGAAATTATAAACTGTACTAAGGCTAAGATTTACTCGTATAATCAAGTAAAAGCACGTTGCAAAACAAAATGAGTGCTTGTGTGTGAACATCTAGAAGTTGCAACTGTTGATATTTATATATATAGTGCCCACGAATATATTAAGAAACTGATATTGTGCAAGACACAAACATGATGTAATTTCTATTTGTTATTTTTTGTAATGATATTTTGGAATTAAAGAATATTTTGACTAAATAATTTATCTCATTCGTGCTCCCTGTCTAATGTCGTAGTCGAAAGGTGTAATATAATAATCTACATCACTGTGCAATCAGCGCATAAACAGGGGTGTCGCTTTGGATGAAAGGAAGGAAGAAAGGAGAGGGGTAATGGGAAAAAAGATGCTATGTCGTGAGTGTGTGCTTCCAAATATGAGTCCCCCCCCCCCCCCCCCCATCCGATACACACTCTGAATTTGGATCGGCGCCTCTAAGCCTGAGGGTACAGAAGGGGGGAGGGCAAAGTATAAGAGCAAAATACAGCTGCCATTATATTTAGTGGTAGTTTTGGTGGTTGTTGTTGTTGGTGGCAGGCGCGGATTCAGGGGGGGGCCGAGCGGGCCTTGGCCCCCCCCCCCCCCCCGCAAAAAAAAAAAAAAAAAAAAAAAAAAGAGAAAAAAGGAAAAGAAGGGAAAGGGAAAGGGGAGAGAAAGGGAAAGAAAGAAGAGGAAGAAGAAAAGAAAAGGGGGAAGAAGGAGATCGGGGGGCCGAAAGGGCCTTGCCTCCAAAGCTGTTGACCCCCTCCCCCCCCCCCCCCCCCAATCAAAAAAATAAGAGAGAAGGAAGGAAAGGGAAAGAAAAAAGGAAAAGAGGAGATACTGGCGTACTGATACTGATTGCTCATTTGACCGTGATTAAATGCCTAAAATCCCAAAGCTTTCGGGGGCTCTGCCCCCTGGATTCAACCTAGGGCCCTACGGCGGGCCCTTAGATGCTCATCTGACGGTAACTTAATGCCTAAAATCCCTCTTTTGGAGGGCTCCGCCCCCTGGACCCTACGCCAAATAGTGACCTTCCAGTGTCACAAAATAATAGGTATTTTAAAAAAAATGCTCATCTGACCTTAATTAAACGCCTAAAACCCCTGAGTTTCCGGGGCCGGCTCCGCCGCCTCGACCCCACCAGGGGCCCTAAGGCGGGCCCCTGAATGCTTATCTGACCGCGGTCCCCCCAAATCGGAAGAGGACGTAGGAAGAAAAAGTAGCAGAAAAAGAACATCTTTGAAATTCAGACAAGCATTAAGAGTATAGAGAACGGTACAGCGAATCGTCTTCTTTCTCTCATAATCTTATGAAACGTCAAAGCTTCCGCGCTTTGCGCGGAAGGGGGAACCTGAATTCAGACGAGGATTCAGAGGCGAGAACGGTAATACGAATCTTTAATGATTTAATGAAACGTAAAAGCTTCCGCGCTTCGCGCGGGATGGGGGGAAACTAAATTCCGACGAGGATTATTTTCGAGAACGGTACAACGAATCGTCTTCTTTCTCTAATGATTTAATGAAAATTAAAAGCTTCCGCACTTCGCGCGGGAGGGGGGAACCTGAATTCAGACGGGGATTTAGAGTCGAGAACTGTACAGCCAATCGTCTTCTTTCTCTCATAATCTTATGAAACTTAAAAGCTTCCGCGCTTCGCGTGGGAGGGGGGGGGACCTGAATTCAGACGAGGATTAAGAGTCGAGAACTGTACAGCCAATCGTCTTCTTTCTCTCACAATCTTATGAAACTTAAAAGTTTCCGCGCTTCGCACGGGAGGAGAGGGGGGGGGACCTGAATTCAGACAAGGATTAAGAGTCGAGAACTCTACAACGAATCGTCTTCTTTCTTTAATAGCTTAATGAAACGTCAAAGCTTCCGCGCTTCGGCGCAAGAGGGAGAGGGAGTGACTGAATTTAGACGAGGATTAAGAGTCGAGAACTTTACAACGAATCGTCTTCTTTCTCTAATAATTTAATGAATCGTAAAATTGTCCGCGCTTCGCGCGGGAGGGGAAAAACTAAATTCATACGAGGATTAAGAGTCGAGAACGGTACAACGAATCGTCTTCTTTCTTCAATAGTTTAATGAAACGTCAAAGCTTCCGTGCTTCGCGCAGGAGGGGGAGGGGGGCTGAATGTAGACAGGGATTAAGAGTCGAGAACTCTACAACGAATCGTCTTCTTTCTCTAATAATTTAATAAATCGTAACATTTTCCGCGCTTCGCTCAGGAGGGGAATAACTAAATTCAGACGAGGATTAAGAGTCGAGAACGGTACAACGAATCGTCTTCTTTCTTTAATAGTTTAATGAAACGTCAAAGCTTCCGCGCTTTGCGCAGGAGGGGGAGGGGGGCTGAATTTAGACAAGGATTAAGAGTCAAGAACTCTACAACGAATCGTCTTCTTTCTCTAATAATTTAATAAATCGTAAAAATTTTCGCGCTTCGCGCAGGAGGGGAAAAACTAAATTCAGACGAAGATTAAGAGTCGAGAACGGTACAACGAGTCGTCTTCTTTCTCGATTTAATTTAATAAAACGTCAAAGCTTCCGCGTTTCGCGTTTGCACCGACCCCCCCCCCCCGCATTACGTCACTGTTGGTCACCATTACGTACCAATATTTGGCTCGCATAATTTGAAATTTGGGCCCCCCCCCCCCTAAGAAATCCTGGATCCGCGCCTGGTTGGTGGTGGTGGTAGTGGTGATTATAGTAGTGGTGTTGCTGGTGTACGTGGTAGACTAGTAGTGGTACTGGTGGTGTTATAGTGTGAGTCGCAATATTTATGGTACGTACGTGATGTCGGTCGTTTTGGTGGTGATGGTGGTGGTGGTGGTATAGTGGTGGTTTGTAGTGGTGATATTTAGTAACGTTGGTGGTGGTGATGGTGGTAATGGTGATGGAGGTGCATGTATGGAAGTAGTAATATTGTTCGTGAGGGTGGCGGTTTTGTAGGTGTATAGCCGATGGTAGTGGTACGTAGCTAGTTGTGTTTGTAGTCAGGGCGGACCCCCCTCCCCCTGACAAAAGCTAGATATTTAAAAAAAAAATGGTAACTTCTTCTTCTTCTTCCTCCGTTGTTCTCGGAGATCTGCAGTTGTATTCTGCAAGCGTCAGTGTTGGTGCCTTTCGTCTCCAGCTGTTGACATTGTAGTTACAAACATTCAAGTGGGAGAGGAAAGGATAGAGGTACGGGCAATGTGAATTTTATGGAGGAAGAGTAGAATTAGAGTGTTCAGTCTATCATATAGATTTGATGGGAGCATGAGGTGGTTGGGAAGAAGTATAGCTTTTGTGAATGCAAAGCCATCATTGAAGTTGAAGTATGAGAGGGTGGTTTCAGAAAAGTGTCTGCTCTGCATTTCTCCGATGAAGTCACTTCGGTGTGACGCTAGGATACTACAGGAGGCCACAAAGTGGATATTATCCTCATCTTCCTGGTGGCAAAGACGGCAAGTGGTTGAGGTTGCTTTCTTAATGGTGACAAGCCTAGTTTGGGTTAGGTATGTGTTGCATGCCAACTGTGATCTTATTATGATCGCTTGCCTCAGAAACTGTGAGCTGCTGGTCTGTGGATACAGGAGCATTGGGTCTGGTATGGGCATGTTCCTCCATAGTGACAGGGACGACTTCTTTTCTATTGCTTGTAGGATGTTGTCATTCACTACGTCCATCACTGCCCTCTTGGATTTCTTCTTCCACAATGTGTACGGAATTGGGTGTTGTATGAGGGTATGGAGATCTGGGAGTCTGTACTTCATTAGGATGGCTTGCCAGGAGTTGATGGAGAGGGTAGATTTGGTCAAGGCATGTAGAAATGTCCGATACTCAAATCTTTCATGAGGCAGGTCTAATGTTTGCCCAATCATCTGAAGCTTCTCAATATCGACTTGGTTGCTTAACGGCATAAGTCCTAAGAGGAGATATATAGCATCATCAGCTGCTGTTCTTGGGAGACCAAGGATTTTCTTGAACAGTTGGTGTTGGGCCTGGTCAAGTCTAGCTGACATCCCTTTGGTGATCTTTTCCACTGCTGATCCATATAGCATTCGCGGGATACAGTATACTTTCCAAAGGGATACACTATGCTGGGGAAGGAGTCCTCCTGTGTATGCTCCTGATCCAGTGAGTGCATAGAAGGTCCGCACTCCTTTGGAGATTATATCTTCTGCTGAATTCCTCTTTATGCTTGATTTTATGATGCCGAGGTGCGGATGTTGCAGCACAGATGGCACTGTGTCATGTCCAAGCTTCCACAATGGAGGTTGAGACATATTTTTCCCTTTGTTGTTGAAGGTAATTACACAGCTTTTGCTTGGGTTGATCTTGTATCTCCATCGTTTCGTATAGCTATCGACGACGTCAAGCATTGCCTGTAGTTCAGAAGGTGACGAGCTCAGCAGGGCTACGTCATCAGCTAGTACCACAAGGCCAGAGTATCTGCCTAGCAACTTGCATCCAAGATCCTTGTTGCGGAGGATTTTCATCAGTTCGTCAATGAAGGTAATATAGAGAAGGGGTGACAGTACACCACCTTGTCTTACTCCCTGTAGAATTGGGAAGGGGTCACTTACAGTTCCATCCCAAAGGACTTGGCTTTGCATGTTGTTGTAGAGAGATCTGACCATGTTGAGGTGTTGAGGATGAATACTTGTCGATGTTAGCTTCTGGAACAGACCAGCG